CTCTTAGATATGAGACACTTCTCACTCCCCCTCAATCACAGCAGTGATAAAAACAGATTAGTAAAATCTAGAAGACACTCTTCAAGGACAACACTCGATCTTGTTTAAAAGCTTCAATCAAGAGCAATTCACTCTTACTTAAAAGTTTAGAGTGGACAAATTACAACTCAAAGACTTAGTCCAATTCACAAATCAAGGTGTTGAGTGAATGTCTCACAATTAACAATAACACAAGAAGGTAGAAAACCTTATTCCTTACGCAAAGCACTCTTACAACCCTAGCTTCTCTAATCTTCAAAATAAGATTGTAAAGTATTTATATAGTAACACTTTGAACGTGCTTGGGATTTAGCAAAAACTACCTCTGATTTGATAAAATCAAATCAGATAATTCTTCATAATTAACATCATAGAAATAGAACCAAAATAGATTTGATCAAATCAAAACAAATCACACTTTAAATCTTCTCAAGATTTTCTGCATGAAAATAGAACAAAAGATTCTACAGTACTCCATGAATTAACTAGCAGAAGCTCTTTTATTTAAAGAAGATCTCCATGTTGATATGCATCCGCAAAAATCCTTCTCATAAAAACACACAGGGTTGCACAAAAATGCAACAGATAAAACATAACATTCTCACTGAATGTTTTGTTCACAAATGTCAGGACATCATGCTTGACATCATGAACTAAAACCCTGCAACATTAAGAATAACCACCTGCAGAATGTTAAGATCATATGTCAAGACATTCTATAGGAAATCTTGTGATAACATCAAGTTTTACCAAAATTGCTGCCAATCAAGAACTAACAGGTAGGATATAATATTTTGTTGACTTCAACCAGTTTAAATACACTCTCTTTGTTTTAAATTCATCATTTCCCATTCATTCTCACTTGTAACTCTTAAACCAAGCATTTTCTCAGTTATCGAAGAGTGAGGATGAGCAAGATGTCAATCCAAATCAGTATAGGGGGATGATTGGATCCTTGTGTTACTTGTGTAATACGCAACTCGACTTGGCGTTTAGTGCGTGTATTGTAAGTAGATTCTTAGAGAGACCAAAAGTATCTCACTTGTTAGAATTCAAGAGGATCCTAAGATATGTAAAAGGATCAATTGACTACGGAATTCTCTTTCTTGTAGTGGTCAAAATCAGAAAATGCAATTTGCTCGGTTTTACCGATTCCAACTGGAGTTGAAATAAAGATGATTGAAAGTCTACAGTTGGATTCTTTTTTTCGGTAGAACAACAATCTCATGGTGTTCAAAGAAGGAACCGGTAGTTGCACTCTCGTCTTATGAGGTCGCGTACATTGTCGTTTCGTTATGTGTGTGCCAAGTCGTGTGGCTAATGAATCTATTAAAGGAGCTGAGCAACAATGAAATTGAGGTTGTTACACTTCTATTTGATAACGTCTCTGTGATTAATCTTACCAAGAACCAAATTGCACATGGGACGAGAAAGCACATTGAGATGAGGTTTCACTACTTAAGGAAACTTGTTAGTGAAGGAAGGTTGAGCTTAGGATATTGTATAAGTAAAGAACAACCTATTGATTTGTTGACTAAGGGAGTCACAAATGAAGTGTTCAAAAGGTTGAAATTGAGCCTAGACATAGAAGACTTGAAGCACTTAAATTTAGGTGGTGTGTTAAGAGTTTTTCAGTAATTCAAGTGTTGTAACCAGTTAACACGGGTGTGTAACCGTTTATAACTGTCAAAATAAGTCAAATAAGCTGAAGAAAAATGAATATGGTTTTGGTGTAACCGGTTACGCATTCGCAATAACCAATTACTCATTAGCAATTGTTACCGATTATAGGTTGCATAACCGATTACAGATCCGAGAATTTTGTTTTTATGTTATTTGACTTATATGACTTATGTCTCAACCCTCTTGTATTGTTTGTATAAATGTCTTTTTGACATCCTCATCAATAATAGTGGTTAATGATAGTTCTAACCCATAATTTCTCTCTCTCTCTCTCTCTCTCTCTCTCTCTCTCTCTCTCTCTCTCTCTCTCTCTCTCTCTCTCTCTCTCTCTCTCTCTCTCTCTCTCTCTCTCTCTCTCTCTCTCTCTCTCTCTCTCTCTCTCTCTCTCTCTCTCTCATGTCTTTATTATTCACTAATCTTGTGGTTCCAAATTCTAAAATTCTTTTCATAATAAAAATTATAATACATTTGTTTTTAAACACGAATAGTTATAAAAATCTTTTAGCTTGTAATATAAATTGAAGTTTTTGATATTAAAAAAAAGAAAGGGGGAGAGGAGGAAACTTTTAAAAAAAACTTATTTTAAAAATTGTATAATATGTAACATTAAAAAAAGAAAATAAATTATATTATTAATTAGAATAAATTTAAATTTAAGCAAATGAAAATAAATTAATTACAATTTTTTTATTCCATATTTAATTTATATTTATAATTTCTTGAGATTTTTGGATATGTCTTTATTCAATGAAAAGAGAATGAAGAAGTATTATCTATTATTTAATATATATAAAAAATTTAGATTCATTATACAATCAATGTATTTGGGTTATATGTAATTCTGATATATTAATTCTTCTTTGAATCTAAATATAAACTTTTCTTATATTAAGACAAGAAGAAGTATTTAATAAATAAAATATGAAAAGAAATATTTTTATTTAATATTCATTATGATTTTATTTATAAAAGACAATTTTTTTAAAAATATATTAAATAATAAATTTATTTAATTTAATATTTAGTCTAAATATTAAATAAGATACATTGATTATTCAATGAATTTAAAAAATAAATGATCTCTTATAAGATTTGAAAGAATATTAATAAATATCAAAGAAATAATATCAAGCCAACTTGTAAACTACCATAAATGGTCATGTCAAATCAGCTCACTTGATAGTCGTGTATAGGATTGTCAATGAACCAAATCAACTCATAAATAATTTGAAATTTGGTTTGACAATTAAATCGTTAAACTAGGTTCACGAACCAAATGAGTTGAATATGAGTGAAAAATTAAATTCGTTAACTAGATGAGTTGAACTTAAACTATACATAGTTCGACTCTTTAGGTTCATGAACCAACTCGATTATATATGAGAATAATTATATTGTCTTTAAGAGTAGGTTTAAAAATTTACTTCAAATTTTAACTCTATATTGTTCCTTTCGTACTAGTTATGACATTAAAACTGACAATTGCATTTAGAGTCATCATTTTTTGAATGCATTATGACATTTACTAAAATAACATGTGTAATGAAGGTTGCTAAAATTTGTAAGATTCTCAAATATTTAGATGAATTTGTGAATTTTTGAAACAAATTTAAACTAAAATTGAGTAGTTTTTTAATTAGATTTTCAAATGTATCTCTTGAAAGTTGTGTAATTTTTAAATTAGTAGATTTTAGAGACAAAGTTAAATTACAATCTAATAACTTTTATTTTATTTCAATATATTTTTTAAAAAATATTAATTTAAAATGTCAAATATATATAGAAATAGATTTAAAAATGGTTTTTAAATATATGAAACAAATGAGCTGAACCTAACGAGTTGAACTTAATTGTTCATGAATTTATAAGAAATTGAGTTTGAGTTTTAAAAAAATATGTGTCAAACTCGAACCGAAATTTGAGTTGAATCAATTCTTAATGAATCAAACCGAGCTGAGACGAATACGACTCAACACAATTTATTTCGAATCCTATGCAAGAATGCGAGTTCGAAACCACGACATCGCATTTATTTACATTTTGACTCTTACACTACCCATTTTGTTTCATAATGAGTGACACAGTTGACCATTTGATACATATTAATAAAAGTGTAATAGTTAAATAGAGAATGAAATTTTTACTAAATTATCATTTATCATTTATTGTGAATGATGAAAGTGGTAATAATTAAATGATACAATTAAAAAAAAGACAAATAATTTGTATTGTAAATTGAAATGAATCATTCATTTTGAGATATTTTATTATTCCAAATTAATACTCATTTCGTTCTAAATTATAAAACGTTTTGAATATTTCATACTAATTAAAAAATGCAATAATTGTTGTATAGAAAAGTAAAATAATATATAATTTTATCAAATTGTCATTTATTAATTACATTGAAAAGTGAAATTAAAAAATAGAAAAATAAAAAATAATAAATGATAGAGAATATTTTAAAATTAAATCATTAATATTATATTAAAATTTTAAAGTGACTTATAATTTGAAACAGAAGAGTAAATTATTGTAAAATTAAAAAATTATCATATGTAAAATAATTATCATATATAAAATAATATAAGATGACTTATCATTTGAGAAAAATAATTTTAGCTAAATTTGAGACCGAGGGATTTGGATCTTCTCCTTTTTTATATATTCTGCCATCTCTCATATTTCTAATCTAACGGTTCAGAATTTATAATGAATAATTAAATTAAAAAAGTCATTTAATAGGAGAGATTATGATGCTTATTAAATGATTTTTTTGTATTGAAAATAACATCATAATCTCTCTTATTAAATAATTTTTTTTATTTAATTATTTATTATAAATTCTGAACCGTTAAATTAAAAATCTGAGAGATTGCCGAATATATAAAAAAAAGGATCAAAATCCTAAAAAGAAATTGTTTTTAATTCCAATATTCATCCTTTTAAAATTAGCACGCACTTCAATAACATTGACTTCATTTTAAAGTTACCACGCACTTCAATAAAATTACATTCATTATTTTAAAATCAGCACTATCAATAAAATAAATTTACAAGACTAAAAAAATAAAAATTACAACCACCAAGAAATATAATATAATTCTTTTTTAACGTATAGAAATGTCATCAAATCCGATAAATACAAAAGAGAATCAATTTCTGAAAAGGGGCCGGTAGAATATAATATTTTGTTGACTTCAACCAGTTTAAATACAGTCTCTTTGCTTCACAATTATCACTCTTAAACCAAACATTTTCTCAGTTATACTATAACAATGTCAAGCGAGATTCAATTCTTCCCTCTCAACACCGGAGCCAAGATCCCTTCCGTCGGTTTGGGAACTTGGCAGTCTGAGCCCGGTGTTGTCGGTCAAGCCATTGCTACTGCCATCAAGGTTTCTTACTGCCTTTTAGATTCTAACATGCACATTTTAGAAATCTAGTAATGTTAATATACTGATATTTTTATTTTGATGAGTCAATTTGATACTTGCAGATCGGTTACCGTCACATTGACGGCTCTCCAATCTATGGAAATGAGAAAGAGGTAAGTCATTAGGTGTTTTTTTTTCATTGTTGATGCAATTTTACGGAAAATAAATGATTCGTTTATTTCTTCTATTGCAGATTGGATCTATATTGAAAAAATTGTTTGATGATGGCGTAGTGAAACGGGAAGATTTGTTTATTACCTCGAAACTCTGGTTTGTTTGCTTACATATTAATATTACAGACTTCATTAAGTAGTATTGGTTTCCTTTTTTTATTCACTTCTTGGTATTTAATATAATGATCTCCACTGCAGGAATACCGAGCATGATCCAGAAGATGTACCTCTAGCACTGGACCGGACTTTGAAAGACTTGCAACTTGATTATGTTGATCTGTATCTTGTATGTAATAATTTCGCTTAATCTTTGAAAATTGATGGTTTAATGTGAACATGCTTTATTGATTGTTAACCTGATGATTTTTTTTAGATTCATTGGCCAGTTGCAATGAAGAAAGAACCAACAATGGAGAAAGAATCAGTAGGTTTTAATTCTGAAAATATTTTGCAACCTAACATTTCCAGCACAGGGAATGCATCCACGGAAGGTTCGAATCCTAAAAATCTTGTACAACCTAATCTTGCTGGCACATGGAGGGCAATGGAGTTACTCTATGACTCTGGAAAGGCGCGGGCTATAGGTGTAAGCAATTTCTCCGTCAAGAAGTTGGGGGATTTGTTGGAAGTTGCTCGCATTCCTCCGGCTGTCAATCAAGTCGAGTGTCATCCTGCTTGGAGGCAGGATAAGTTGAAGGACTTTTGCAATTCGAAAGGCGTCCACTTCTCTGTAAGTTTCCAGATCTTGAATGATCGTTATAAACATGAAATGAAACTTTTATTAAGTGATTTTGTCCTATTTAATGTTTAGGGATATTCACCATTGGGTTCTCCTGCTTGGCTTAAAACTAGTCTCCTTAACCATCCAATTCTGAATGAGATTGCGGAGAAACTAGGCAAGACTCCTGCACAGGTAGCTCTCCGTTGGGGGTTGCAAATGGGTCATGGTGTGCTTCCCAAGAGTGCAAATGAAACAAGAATAAAAGAAAACTTTGATATTTTTGATTGGTCTATACCTGAAGACTTGTTTGCTAAATTTTCTGAGATTGAACAAGTAAGTATTTTATGATTTCCCTAGATATTTCTAGTTTTTGAAAACAATGAAAATAACAGAACAATTGTTTTTTTTTTTTAAATGCATAAGTTCTAACTAGACTTGGTGGTAGAGATTTGAAATTCATGTTTTGTACAAACATAATAAATCTTATGCTTGTTAAAATTTAATATGCATGATTTTATGATATTGGATCTTATTGTTGCAGGAGAGATTGGTTCGAATGGACATATTTGTTGACGAAACTTATGGTGGTTACAAAACCGTTGAAGAACTTTGGGATGGAGAAATTTAAGCCATCAGCAGCGTAGGGTATTTGATGGAATAAGAGAATGTCTTTGTTTTTGTGTTAGATTTGCATGCATAATAATTTTCACCGTCTGTGGTGTATATCTACTATGTCTTCATCCGTTTTTGTTGTTGAAATAAGAAATATTTTCTCTTAGTAAATTAATAAACAAACTATGGCGCAATGATTTTTCAGAGTTGTTTCTATAGTATTCTATAATTTTTTTTTTCTATATTCGAATGATCTTTAGTAGAATCTCAATTCTGACTATCATGCTTAATAAATATATGATTGTAAAATTCTTCAACAGACCTGTAGTCACCATAAGTTTAAAATTCATATTTTGTATGATTAATATATTTGTCGAAGAACTTATGATTTCTATATTCTAACTTCTTTTTTATTTATATTTCTAATTAAATTAAAAGAGAGAAGTTTAAAATTATATATATTGTAACGGAATCATAAATGGAGTGAGAATTAGTGATAATGGCGGATTAGAAATTCTGATGCGGTGAAAATGGGACTGACCAACACTACAAGAAAATGTTATTTTGCCTAGTGATTCAGTGGCGTGGTAAACACGTGGAAAAAAAATACGTTAGCAAGTGAATCTCACGTCACTAACGTTAGCAAGTGAATCTCACGTCACTAACATATTTAATTAATAAATTATGTAAACTTGAAATCTGCAACGAAATATTTGAATTTTAAGATAGAGGGAAGTTTGAATTTTTCAAAAATTAAATTGTGGCGTGTCAAACACATGGTAACTAAAAATTCAAAAAAAGTCTTTTTATTTGCCATATGGAGATCATGTCACAAAGTACCTTCACGTCGCAAGTTTGTACATAGTAAAGGTCCTCAACTTTTACTTTTACTTTTCAGACAAATTGATAATGAAATTTAATGAGACAGATTTTCCAAGTTATTCCCACGTCGCAAATCTGATACATAAATGAATTAAAAATTATTTTTTACCCTTTGCTTTGGAATTTAGTAGTGCACGCTTAAATATTTATTGCTGGGAAAGTTCAGACGTGTGGTTCACGTGGCAACTTTCCCAAATTAAAATCACGTGTCCACCATGTCGCAAGTCTAATTATATATCCAAAGCCCAAAATTTTCTTCACACATCTCATTTCTTCTTCTTTTCCTTCTGTCTTTCCTTTCTTCCTTCTTCCTCTTCTGCCTCCATTCATCCTCCATTTTTGAACGTAAGTTTCACAAAAAAAAATTAAAGTGAACGATAAGTATGTTGTTTATGTGGCTGTTTTACCGTTTATTTTATGTTTTTCTTATTATTAAAGACTGATTTTTTTCCAGATTTAAAATTAAGAAGTTCCATTGAAGCTTTGAGAGTTAGCTCTATTGAGGTATTTACGCATTTAAATTTGTTTATTTTTCAGATTTATAGTGATATACGAAATGTTATTTAGGTTATTGATTATAAAATTTTAAATTTGTTATTGTTAGAGGTAAGTATATATGTATTGTGTTTTGTTGTTGAAAGTTAAAATTAAAAATATTTTGTAATAGAATATATATTTTTAGAATATATATATTTAGAATTAAAAATAATATATATATATATATATATATATATATATATATATATATATATATATATATATATATATATATATATATATATATATATATATATATATATATATATATATATATATATATATATATATATATATATATATATATATATATATATATATATATATATATATATATATATATAAGAAAAATATGTATTTTTAGAAACAAAATATGTATTTTTAGAAACAAAATATATATTTTTAGAATTAAAAATATAATATATAATAGAATATATATTAGAAACAAAATATGTAATGTATTTTTAATTTTTAAAAACAGAATATATATTATGTTAGAAAATGTAAAGTTTTTAAAAATATTTTTAGTAAACAAAATTGTAAATAGAAAAAATTTAAATATATTTTTTTAAAAAATATAATGAATATGTATTATATTTAAAATGTGTTATTTTTAAATGTATTATTTTTTGAAAAAGTGTTTCTATTAAAAAATTATGAATATGTATTATATATATTTTAAATGTGTTATTTTTAGTAAACCAATTATGTATATTATAGAATATTATATTATTGAATACTTATTATATTTTAGTAAATCTTCAATATATTATTTTTAAAAAAACAGATTTTTAAAAATAATGAATATATATTATATTTTAAATGTGTTATTTTTAATAAATAAATTATATATTATATTTTAGAATATTATATTTTGAGAATATGTAGTATATTTTAGAATATTAAATGTGTTTTTAGTTAATATTTTTTTTATTATTAGATTTTATAGTGAAGTGCAACTCATGTCACTAATATAAAACATATTTTTATTTGTGGCATGCAAACCACGTCACTAATTAGTGACGTGGGAATCCCATGGGAAATTATTAAATTTTTTCATTATTAAATGTGGTTTCCCACGTGAAAACCAAGTCACTAATTAGTGACGTGATATTCCCGTGAGAATTTTTTCTATTATTTTTGTTATTTGTGACGTGGGAAAACCAAGTCATAACTTAGTGACGTGTTTTTCACGTGGGAAAATGTTCCCACCATTGTTTTTTCCACGTGTTTTACCCACGTCGCAAATGTTGTTTAGTGAAGTGTTTTTTGAGTTAGTGACGTGAAAATCATTTGGGAAAATGCAATGTTTCTTGTAGTGCAATAAGATTAGCACTTTAATGCTAAAGTAAGTATCTGAGAAAGAAGAATGAATTGAAATTAAATACTTAAATTGACGCGTTCTATACATATAGTGGAGATGAAATAACAAACTTGTTATTTGTTAGGAGTGAATTGCAGAGAGTCGTCAAATGCATCAGAAGATTGTATCCTCTATTTTAATTTGCACGATAGTTAATAATTCACAATGTGAGGTATTCTAACCCTTAATACTTGATTTTATCTTGTTATTAAGCACTTTGTTAGAGTAATTTCAATTTATTGTGTTGTTTTAAGTGAGTTTGTGAATAGCACAATAGGTGCTTTTATTTTTTAGTTTTTATGTGTTTGATACATGTGTAGGAATAATTTTTGATAAGTTTTGTCACGACAAAACTGGAGCACCACTTTAACCCCAATTTTTAGCTAAATGTTAAATGAAATGGAGGTTACAAAGAATGAATGTTCATGGTTTTAGGGCATATGTGTCATCAACCAGAAAATTGGAGTGTATTTGAGTTAGAAAGTAAATAAGATAAGATCAAAGCGCTAGAAGACAAAAGACTGCAAACTAGTAAAGCCACTGCAACGCGCAACTTGTCCTCTCTGTACATCAGTCTTGCCACCGTACGCTTAGTCTCCTGCTTGCGTTGTGTACCTCTCCTAGTATTGGTACGAAGAAGAAGAAATTGAGGGAATGTGTTGATTATCTTAGGCTAAAAGTGATGGATAATCAAGAAGCTCATGGTCCAATACCTCAAAAAACTATAAAATAGGTTGGATATAAAAGGATCTCTTGAGAAAATTGTAAGAAGCTCAGACTCAGAGAGAAAAACACTTGATAGAAATTTGTGTGAAAGTAAGCTATATTAAGTTAGAGAGTTCTCTTCTATTATTTCCAAGTATCAAACACGAGTATCTGGAGGGACAAAACTTGTCTCTTGTTTATTAAAGATTGCAAGAAGATGAAGAAATTACTTTTAGATTTTAATTTCTTTTTCATTATATGTTTAAGAGTATTTAAAGTAGGAACCAATGTTGATGTATGTACTGAGCTCATCATGAGCTAAACTATTTTATGTTGAGAAATGTGAAGTTAATATGAAGTAATCTTTTGTGTTATTTGATGTGATGTTAGAGACTAATTTTATCATGCATTATATTGTTATAAATCTGATTCTTGGCTGATCATCTTAGGAAAAGATAAAAGCTTATTGATGTGAGGGATCCATCAACAAGTGGAACTTATGATAAATGTGATTGAAAATAGTAGGATATAAATATTCACTAGATTAGCTACTTTAGGTATAAAGAGCTACAACCAAAGGGGACATTTGGAATGAAATCATACATGCATTAAAATTAAATGTGAGGCTTTGGAATTTGTCTCCTTGCTTTCTTGCATAAGATCATATACTGTAGGAATACACTAATAGATTTCATTATGACCTCATCTGACATGGCATATCATATCATATACACACATTAGATAAATCAAATTAATGGATCATTACCCAACATATTATCCATTACTTATTTCACTTATTCAAGCAAACTTAGTTATATCATTGTTTACTTAAAAATTGAACTTGTGACAACCATTAACTATTGTTATTTTTACTGATGCTCATTCATAAAAGATAGTTTTGTAAATTAATCTAAGTTATTACACTCCTTGTGAGAACGATATTCTTACTTTTTATCACTTGCTACAGTGGACCGTGTATAATTGTGTGATATATAGTTTTAATCCATACTAGTAGTTCTCGCGTCTTTTGAAGGTTTTGGAATGATTGTGGTTATTTTAAAGTTGTCGGTCAGGAATTAATATGGTCGGCCCATAATAAATTCCTCCCATACCCTTATTTTTGTGTAGCAAGGCAAATGTTTGTCATATTAGCCTCGAAGGCCAACCATTCTTTTATATATCCCAGAATAGTAAGAATAAACACTTTAGTTTCTTGGGAAGTCGCGCCTTTAATGCCCCATATCTTAAATGTCTTGTCAGAGGTATCCTCATTATGACCCTTAGGAATTGAGCATTTGAGTGTTACGTGTAAGTGATTTTAAGTGTTTGATAAATTCTATTTCCTATTTCTATTTCCTTTTGCATGCTAGCATACGATTCATAAAGAGTCAACTTTGTATTTCTTTGAGTTATCTCTCCCTGTTTGTTGTTATCTTCCTTCCTCTTGATATTTTTCTTTCTTGCATCTAGAAAAGTTAGCCCATTATGGGTAAAAATATCACAGAAGAATGCTCAATCTTCATGATCCT